GTGCCCCTCGGCGGCGCAGCCCGAGCCAGGGGGCGAGGCCGGGAGATCCGCGCCGGGTTTTTGGTTTTTTTTTGGGGGGGAGGGGGGCGGTGAAAATTGTCAAACGAAGCGACTCCACTGCTCTCCGAGGCCGTCCCTCGCGCGGCCGCGTCCCCGGCCCCGGTCCTTACGGCTGGAGCGGAGCTATTCCACCTGTTCGCGCAGAACTGGACGGCCGCGCGCCGGGCCCCGCGCTCGTGCCACTTGCTTAAAGCCCTAGGGCGGCCCGTGACGTCCCAAGAACTGTCGTGGCCTTTTTAAACCTTTAGAAGAAAAACGGCAACGGAAGGAGAACCAAAAGAAGGGAGGGAGGAAGGAAAGAAGGAGAGAGGAAGGCGGACAGGTGCAGAGATGGAGAGGCGGAGACAGAGCTCGCCCCCGCGGCAGCCCTTGGCTTCGTCCCAGAGCTGTGTCCGCGGGTCCCTTCCAGGCCCTTACACACACGCCTGGCCTTCCCGGGGTCGCGCCCCCTTTACGGCCTTGCTTCCTCCAGGCGCGACGCGTTAGGAAGTCATTGGAGTCAGAGGGGTGACGGACCAGTCCCCCCCTGTGGGCCTGGGGACGGACTCAAACTGCCGCAGCCTGTTGGCTGCGTGACCCTGCGTGCCCACCCCAGGCAGCCTCCCTCCCCCCGGTTCCCCATCTTTCTAGTCTTCTCCCCAGTTCATCAACACTCCCGAGCGCTGTTCCCAGAAAACGCTCATCTTTGGGGGCGGGGGCGGGGAACCCTCGGGCCGGCGGGGCCGAGCTGGCAGGCTCGGGGAGGTAACTACGATTCAGGGCTGGGGCGATTTCCAGCAAGCCGCAGGAAGTTCCGTGTTGAGAAGTGATGGGCTGCTACAAAAGGCAAAGACGAAGGCTTGAAAGGATTTAATTAACCGTGTCAGGGATAATTACCCCTGGACAGTCCAAATTAGTTTTGCATAATCGCTCAGAACCATACGAATTAACTTATAATATTGCAAAGAGCTCGGGGAGTAACAGGAGAGGGATCGTTTTAATTAGTGAATCAGGGTCAGACCAGCAGAGCCTATTTCTCACATTTCCAGAACTTTTCATGCTTTTTAAAATATTATCCCATTGGGGGGAAAACAACGACTTTAAAGAGCGGGGTCGTTTATAAAGACGTGCAGCTCAAGAGACAGTCTCTGTCAACGGGAACGGAGTTCAAGACGAGTTGAGTCTTGTGTCCTGAGAATTTCTACCTCAGTGTGTGTGTGTGT